TAGAGGGAATTGTTGTGTGCAAAAGGTTTGTGTACAGTTTTTTATTTCAAACAATTGCATAAAAATAAACAAATAACAGTTATTAAAGCCAAGCAATTAAAACATGTTATAATACAAGGTAGGGTAAAAGCGTAATTTCTTAGTTTATTTATTAAGCTAGCCCATCACTAAATGGGATCAACTCTCTAGGCTTCCCCAGTGGAGTCGCCATCTGTCGTCGCCGTCAAAAAGAGGCAGTCGGAGCGACGCGATAGTTCCGACTTTCCAATTTTCGCATTTTTATGGGTGGTGTTACAACGCCTTTAGGTTGTCCGATAACTGGGCTGAACCTAAGGGTGAGGTTTTTTTGAAAAGGTGTTCTTAGGTTGTCCGATAACCGGGTTAACCTAAGAACTAATTTAAAGGGGTTCTTATGGAGTCGCCACCGATGTTTTTACCGGAAACATCGATAAAGGAGGAAAAAGGCGTTGGTTTTCAAAAACCAACTTTGGTCGTTAAAACCAGAGTTGGGTAAGGGAGTTAGTTACGTGTAAGGGAAGTGTTAGTTCCCTTACGACGCCTCTTTCGGGTTCCCTATGATAGGTCAGCTATTTTATAAATGAACTTTTGAAAAGACGCTTTTACACTTTTATTCGCGGAATTAAAATGATGACTACATGGCCCTAATATCTATTACGCAATTTAATTATGAATAAAAAAGACAGTAAAAGAGAGGGAGAGAATGAAGAAACCTATGAGGCAAGCTTTTGATTAGTTCTCTTGAAAATAGGGTGCGTTTTGGCAGCCCTTCGATCTTAAAACGCCGAAAATCTCTCGAAAACACTATAAAAAGCTCTCTAAGACACTCAGAAACTCCGGAAATGCTTCGGAGGGACTCTAGGAAGAGAATTTGAAGAAATTGTAGAAGGGAAAGTGGAAGAACTGTGTGAAATGAGGGGGGGAGCGCTCACTATTTATAGGGATTCGCGCCTATCAGGTCGAGACGGTCGTCTCGTCTGACAAGGTCGAGACGGCCGTCTCGCCATTCGGGACAACGGTCTTGACTTGCAAAAGTGGCGAGACCACCGTCTCATTTAGCGAGACGGCGGTATCGACTTTTCCAGTAACGAGAAGGCCTTCTTGCCAAACGGGAGGGGGGTCTCGCCATTGGCTAGTGGCGAGACGGCCGTCTCGCCAAATGAGACGGCGGTCTCGACCCCTAAAGGCGAAAATCCTTATTTTTTGTACAGAAAATCCTTCCTACTCTAACATGGGGTCTAATAGTCTCTCCTAATGGCTTGTTAGGCTTCGTCCATCTCCGAATAGTAGGTCTCCTGCTCTTATTTTGAGGTCGGGCAAGATTTGGGGTCTATAAGAGCGAACCGGTTTATGGTTTTCACCGAAATTTGTAAATTTCTTTCGAATTTGTGGATTGTTAATTTATTGTGGATTGTTGATTTTCTATTGATTGTTACTTTGTTGTTCTATGATGGTAGGTTTTTATTTATCGTCCTCCCCCTGTTAATGTTTTTAATCTTTCAATTTATAAAGGAACCCATACCTATTGATGAGCCCAATCTCAAGTAACATGATGGAGCAAATGTTGGTGGCTGGAGCATAGTAGATGTTAATGGTTGGAGCAAAGTAGTAGATGTTGGTGGTTGGAGCAGAGCAGGTGTTGGTGGTTGGAGCGAAGATATTTTGATATATATATATATGCATATATATATATATATATATATATATATATATATATATATATATATATATATATATATATAATTTTGGTGTATTTGGAAATTTTTATTTATAAGAAGAAAAAATGAGGTGTTTACATATCGGACCAAGGATATCCCGAGTCGAGGACGAGGACAATATAGAGTTTGGGGCTGAGAGTGAGATTATCATCAAGGGGATAGACAACTCGACACAAGTCATCAACATAGTGACTAAAGCGATGGACAATTTAGAGGTATTGTCAATACCATTATAGATGGTTTTGCAGATGGGGGAAGCACAAGTTTAACAGGAAAAGGTCTCTTGAGAGAAATATACAATGTTAATATAACTCAAGCATTACAATGAGGACATTACCTCCTATCCTTTTTTTTCACGAAGTTTTAGCTCTCATGATCCTCAACAAGATGATCTTATGGTAATCATTGTCTACATTGCAAATTTGGAAGTGAAGAAGACATTGATTGATCAAGGGAGCTCGGTAGATATCCTACATTGGTATACTTTTACAAAGATGAACGTTTCATGTGACTTAATTCAGCCTTACCTTGATCCATTGGTAGGCTTTACAGGAGAACGAGTCCATACTCGAGGATATATTGATCTTCCAACAACCTTTGGAAAAAAGGAAGAAAGTAGAATTTTGATGGTGAGATATATATTGATTGAACCAAATACCTCTTCTAGCGCATTTATAGGATAAAGAACCCTAAATCAACTTTGAGTTATTGTATCCACTCCTCTCATATGGCTATGAAGTTTCCATCTAGAGGAGGGCGAATAATAACAATTAAGGCAGACCTGAAAGAGGCTAGATAGTGTTACACTCTTAGTCTTAAATCTCGTCCTTATTCTTTGAAGAAATTTATGGAAGAATCCACCCAGACATACTTGGTTTTGCTTGTTCAAGAGATGGATGTTGAATTTCGACAAGATATAAGAAGTAATCATCCAACCTTTTAGGAGTTGATATTTGAGCTCCTTCTTGAGAGCAAACCTAGACAAACAACACTAATTGGAGAGGCAATAGAGGTCGGTCTTTGAAATGAAATAAGTATGTTTTACCAAAATTCTGACTTGTTTGCATGGAGTGTAGCCAACATGTCAGGTGTTGATCCTGATTTTATGTGACATAAACTTGTTATTTCACCTGATGCAAAACCTATTGCTCAAAGAAAATGAAAGCTAGGAGAAGAAAGATGAGAGATTATAAAACAAGAAGTTAAAAAATTATTAAACGCAAATTTTATTAGAAAGGTAACATATACAACCTGGTTAGCTAATGTAGTATTAGTAAAAAAGGGTAGTCGAAAATGATGAATGTGTGTTGATTATACTGATTTGAACAAGTCTTGTCTTAAAGACTCTTACCCATTACCAAATACAGATCGATTAGTTGACAACACCTTGGGCTATGAAATTCTCAATTACTTAGATGCTTACATAAGATATGATTAGATACCACCTTGGGCTATGAAATTCTCAATTACTTAGATGCTTACATAAGATATGATTAGATACCAATGTATCTACTAGATGAGAAGAGAACTACTTTTATTACAAAAAGGGCTAATTTTTGTTACAAGATTATGCCCTTTGGATTAAAAAGAGTTGGTGCAACCTACTAAAGATTAATGAATAAAGTATTCAAAAATCTAATAGGAGATATCATAGAGGTTTACGTAGATGATATGATTATAAATCTAAAAATGTCATTGACCATCCATGCCATTTATAAAGACTTTTTGTTGAGGTTTGAAAACATATTATGAGATTAAATCTAGAAAAGTATGTATTTAAAGTTGGAAGAAAGTTCATCGTATTCATGATAACTCAGAGAAATAGAAGCAAACCCTAATAAATGTAAAGTCATTTTGAATATGCAAAATCCTAAGAATATAAAGTAAGTAAAACACCTAAATGGTAAATTAGTTTCACTAGCTTGGTTTTTATTCCTAAGTTGGCTGAAAAAGCAAAACTATTTTTTAAATTGTTAAAGATAGCTCAAAAGTTTGAATAGAAGTAGGGATGACAATTAAACTCGTCTCCGTGGGGACCGACCCGTCCCCGCCCCGAGTTTGATGGGGAAAACCCGAGTTGACCGGGGACGGGGGCGGGTTCGGGTTTTCCCCGCTTTAAAAAGTCGTGGGCAGGGCGGGGATGGGTAATGCAATCCCCACCCCGACCCCGTCTCCGTCCCCTGTCCCGACTTTATATTTAAATTTAAATTTTAAAATATTAATATTCTAAAAGTATTTCCTTTTCTTTTTTACATATAAGGTCATTTTTTTATATTTCACCAAAATTTTTTTCTTTTACCCACTTTTTAATTTTTTTATCTTTTTTAATCTTTTATATCAATTAATTTATTACATTATTCTTTCTCTTACCTTTCAGTTTTTCACATCTCCTTAATCTCTCCCATCAATTTGTTTTTTTTTCAATCTTTTCAACCAATTTGATGAATACAAAGTTAATTTTTTTTTTATTTTTTATCTTTTTCTAAATATTTTACATAAAGTAGTAACTAATATTATTTTATTTATAATTTATATTTATTAGGTTTTATTATGTCATATTTTTTTATCTTATTATTCTTATTTATCATATATCAAATTTTATCTTAATAAAATAATTGTATTTTAAATGATTAAAGGAATAGATAATTTAAATTTTTATTACTTCGAACTAATTGAATAAGAATTAACTTATTAAATATTTCCTTATAAACAATATATTTCATATTTTTAAATGACAACTTAAAAATGAATTAACTTATATATATAATCAAATGTTTGAATACAGATATTATAATAATAGTGTTATAAATATTTAAATATTTGAATACAATGTTATAATAATAATAATATTATAAATAAAAAATGATTAAATATTTCTTTTACATACACATTTTAATATAAATATATAAATTAAAATGTATATTTAATTAATAATAATTATAAATTATAAATATTTATTTATATATAAAAAATAGATAGTAAAATTAATTAATTATAAATGTAATTATCTTTTTAAAAATAATATAAATAGGGAACGGGCGGGGCGGAAACCCGAAACCCAGCGTGAACGGAGATGGGAACTTAATTTCTAACCCCTGCAGGATCGGGAGCGGGACGGGATGGCTAAAAAGTCGGGGTGAGGATCGGGGAGGCAAAACCCGCCTCCACCCCGTCCCGTTACCATGCTAGAAATAATAGAGTTATCTTTGCGGGTGTATGATTGAGCTGCAAAGATATATTTAAAAAAATCAAACTTAATATTACTTCGTTACCAATTTTATCAAGTCCTACCTTAAGAGTCAATATTTTCATATATTTAGGAGCTTCAGACTTAACCATAATATCAGTATTGGAATCATCCTATATATTTTATTAACAGAATTTTACAGTTGGCTAAAATTAGATATTCTACCGTAAAAATATTGATAAGAATTGAAACATTATCTAAATTTTTTTTTTTGACTTGCTAGTCTAAAAAAAAACTTTATAATGAAAAAGTGACATGAATGAAAAATTGAATAATTGAAGAATGAAATTATTGAACCATTTTTTTAGTGAATATATATATATATATATATATATATATATATATATATATATATATATATATATATAATCTTTGTATTGTTTTTTTTAACCAACAGATTTCAATTATTTTTATATACCTTATTTATGTCTTGTTTTAATTTGCATTCACAGTGACAGACACAAGTATAGTAAGTTGGTGATGTTACATGATCATATGATTTTATTTATAGCGAATAAGTTGAGAAGGGAATTGGAGGACAGAAAAATTAAAATGGTTATTGTCTTAATAATTGGATTGTTGAGAGTTGGAAAAATATCATTTAATTTGAGTCTTCCCTAAGTTGTGGACTTGTGGTGCCACACCACAGAAGACAAATTTCAAGAGGGTCCCTCAGTCTTAACTCCTATATTTATATACTTAAATTTTTTTATTTTAACTTAGTCTTCTCTATATATATTCTTATAAATTTTAAAATGCCAAAAAAAAAATCTTGGTTTCCATGCATTGATTATACAATATGTACTTAATTATGTTGTATTAAAAGATAAATATATTATACAGTTGAATGTTTATTTCATAAAAAAAATCTTAAATTTATTTAGATTATAAGTTAAACAGATAAAAACAAAATGGAACTAATTCAGTTTAGATTATCATAATTTTTCTTCTGTGGAATTTAATATAACTTCTAAGCTTTCTAATCACGGTCATTGGACCAAATAATTTTTACAGCTCTATACGATATCGCTATTAAAATCAATAAAAACTTTTTTAAATATGATCGAAATCATTATTATATTTATAGGAATTAAAATAAATATTTAAAGCAATATATATTTTAGAAAATGAATTAAATAAATAATGATTTATTTTAAATGATAATGTAATTATAATTTGTCTGTTACATAATTAATGTTAATTTTAAAAACATTTCAGTATTGGTTATATTATAAAATGCCTGTCGAATATATATATATATATATATATATATATATATATATATATATATATATATATATATATGTTAAGAATTTTATATTTATCCACTAAATGAATAAATTATATATATATATATATATATATATATATATATATTATTTATAATGTTAAGCATATTCTAGTAATCTAAAACATTAATACTTAATTTCATTCTTTTTCTTTACATGAAATTATTTTATTTAGTAAATTTTATGTTATTAAAATTGTTGAATTTTTCGAAACTCGAAAACGAAAAACATAAATATTTCCTCCTCTTATTTAATGTCGAAAAAATTAATTTATTTTTACTCTATTTTTTATTTATTATTTTAATAAAGTGATATGAGGAATTAAAATTAAAAATGAAAAAAAAAATAGAAACGATCTAACCAGTCAACTCATACACTTTTGACCCGTTTATTTAATAAATTAGACAAAATGAATCTAAAGAAGTTACGAGGAATTAAAATCACTAACTGATCATTTTAAGAAAGATTAATGAGTTAATATACTGAACTAACTGCAAAGTTTGAGATCACTCGAGAAAGCATTATCAACTTTAAAAGTCTACTCGAGTATTGAGCATTTATTAAAGTTTATTTAATAAGAACTGTATTTTTTTTAATCAAAAATTTAAGAAAAAGAGAATCTAGTTTATTTTCTTATTGTATAGAATCTTCATATATGTGTGGATAACACATACAATTTTTTTTGATTTTTTTTTATAAATACAATTGAAATATTTGATTAGTGTTCGAGTCGGATGATGAAAAATTATCATATCCGATTCTTTCGAAAGATGGATATATAAGAATTCACCTATCCCAATAACAAAAAAAAAAAAACTTGACTTGAATGATCCCATTTTGTTATATAGAGAAATTCAAGAGGTAACAATTCGAAAGCCTTGTATCCATGTCTCACCTCCCTATTAAATAAATAAAAAAAAACATCATGAGATTATCTTCTATCTTTTTATTTATCTAAATTCTAAACATCAAAAGTTTTACGAGAAAAATAAATAATAATAATAATAATAATAATAATAATAATAATAATAATAAAAGCTGGATCGTTGTTTTAAAATAATGAAAATGAAAATATAAAGACCGGAAGTGAAAATATGAAGACTGAAAGATTAAGAAGACTTACATAGAAGAAAGTTGAAAACTTCATTAAGAAAACGTCGATACAAGGATTATAAGAAAACACTTAAATTCGCTCTCTTGTCAAAAAATCTGGTAAAAATTTATTTTTTCCTTTTATATGTTCAATTTCGAAATCAAAACATGATAATAATGATTGTCATCTAGCAAAAATATGTTTTGAAACTAGATTTTGAACATCTTTTATTAAAACACTTAGTGCTTGCTTTACAATCAGTTCTTATTAAAAACATCATTTTGAAATTTTTGAACACATAATACTATTGAAAGAATCTCTTTTTTAACTATAGAATACTTCGTTGTGAAGGGTGTCAAATACCTGAATGGTATTTGACTATTTGTTCTTTAGATGATTCTGATATTTTTTGTTTTAATATTCCCCCATAGCCTAAATCAGATGCATTTGTTTCTATTATCAAAAAGGCTTGTGGATCTGGGATTCCTAAACAGGGTATTCTTTTTACTAATCCTTTTATTTTTATTATAGCTTGAGTCATATTTTCATCCCACGAGGGTGGATTTTTTCTAAGTCTTTTAAATAATGGTGCACATATTAGTCTAATGTTAGGAATAAAATCTGCTATATAGTTTACACATCCTAAAAACCTTTGCAACTTGTTGTTTATCTTTTATTTCATTTGGAAATTTATCTCGCAAATTCTAGAGATCTTTGTATAGGTATTATAGTGTTTTGATAAATTTCATATCCTAAAAATCTTATTTTTGTTTGAAATATTTTTATCTTTTTAGCTGATACTACTAAACCATTTTCTTTCATTATTTTTATAAATATATCTAGATGATTGATATGTTCTGTTATAGTTTTTGAAAATATTAATATATCATCTAAATATACTATTGAGAATTTTATATATGGAATAAGAATATCATTCATAATATTTTGAAATTCACTAGGAGCATTTTTTAACCCTTGTGGCATTACATTCCATTCGTAATGTCCAAAAGGTACTACAAAAGCTGTTTTATATCTATCTTCTTCTTTTCTTGCTATTTGATAATATCCTGATTTTAAATCAAATTTAGAGAATATTGTTGCTCCATATATTCTTTTAATTAAATCATTTTTATTAGGTAATGGGTATCTTATCCATTTTAATACTTTATTTAAAGGTTTATAATTTATAACTAATCTTGGGGCTCCTCTTTCTATTTCGAAGCCTTCATTACATAAAACCCTGTACAACTCTAGGATGATTTTGACGGTCTAATTAATCCTTTATCTAAATATTCTTGAATTTCTTTTTTACAATATTCTAAATATTCTTGACTCATTTGTATTGGCCTGGATTTTGTAGGTATTTGTTTTTCATCAAAATTATTTATGTAAGGTAATTCTATTATATATTTTTTTCTATGCCAAAAAGCAGTAGGATTTAATTCACATATTTCTCTTTCTATTTTTTCTTGATATTCCTTTATAATTTTTTTAATATTTTGTTTTTCTAATTGTTCTTCTATTCTTTTAAATTTAATTTCTTTATTTAACATATTTATTTGTCTCTTTTTTATTTCTACCTGGCTTATCGAAGATTCTTTCAATAAATTTAATTCTCTAGATTTAGGTGGTTTTATAAATTCAAAACAAATTTCTTTATCTAGAATACTGGTTTTTAAACCTAATTCAGTTACACTGAAAAGGATATAATAATGTTAGAAATGGTGTTCCTAGTATTACTTGGAGTATTCATATTTTTTATTAATACAAAAGAAGTATTATAACAAATTTTATTCTTACATATTTTTACATTAGATAATTTATATTGAATATGCATTTTTGATCCATTTGCACTTGTTACTTTTTCTAAAGTTTTTTCATAATATTTAGTGGGTATTAACCCTTCTTGTATACAATTTACATCTGCTCCTGAATCTACTAAAGCTATAGTTTTAAAGTTTTCTTCTTTTATTACTAATGTGATTTCTACATGCCATTTATGTGTAGTCATTAGGTTTAGTAAACTAATATAACTTTCATCTTTTAAATCTTCAACTTTAGAACTTTCTGCATTTGTTTCCTGATTTTTTATAATATCTTTTCCTTCTAATTCTAATAACTATATTCTAGTGCTATATCATTTTCTTTTAATACTTGTATTTCTTGTTTGAGCGTTTTAATTTCTTCTTGTAAATCTTTTATGGTTATTTGTTGACTTGGACTTTTAAACCTATTATAAATTTCTTTCATACTTATGGGAGTTATGGTTTTTTGGACTTCTTCACTACGAGTTATTAAACTACTTAACTGTTGTAAAAATTCAATTTTTAATGGTGATTCTTCTAATTTATCAATTATAGAAATTAGAGTAGAAGTTTGATCTTTTGTTAGCATATTTATATTTTTACATTCTAGACAGGTACATAATCCTGGGCCTAGACAATAATTATCTTCCGATAATTTTTCTTCTTCACTAGAAGAAGTTTGTTCTATTTGTTCTAATTCTAATTCACTATCTATATTTTCTATAGTACTATCAGATTCTTCTTCTTGAGTTTATTAAAATGTTTAATAGATTTTCTTTTAATTTTTCATCTTTTAATTGGTTTATCTTTTTTATGACTTTACAATTATTAGCATAATGTCCTGGTTTTCCACATTTCCAACAAACATTCTTCTTCTTATTATGTCTATTATATTTGGGTTTTCTTGTCCATTTATTTTTATTTCCTATATCTTTATTTTCAGGTTCTTGAAATTTTTTATACGGTTTTCTATAAGGTTTTTTATAAGTTTTTTCTTGACGTTTAATCACTTTCTTTTTCTTAGCACTGGGGGCTCCAATAGGTTCCATACCATATTGATAACAAAAATTTCCTATTTCTCTTTTATTAATCATACTTTCTTTTCTAAGTTTATTTTGTAATTTAAAGTCAGTACAGACTTGTACTCCTGTTTCTACAATTATATTGTGTATCTGTCCATAAGTTAGGGTATCATAAGATAAAAGTTTACCATAATGATTTTCTAAATTTAATTTTACCTTCTCTGAAAATAACTTAGGTAATCCTGCTAGAAATCTTTCTTTCCAAAATCCTGCGAATCCATCTTCTCTTAAGGTTATTTTTGATAGAAAATTATCTTTATACCATCTATAATCAGACATTGTTGGACAATATATGTTTGCTAATTGGCTAGCTGATCTTTCCTTAAAAATATTGGGATCTCCTACAAAGTTTTGTATTATTGAGTATATTAAAGTTGCTACAGCATCTTCTTGATTATTATCGGTTTTTATACTATTTAATATTGATAATTTATCTTGTTCTGTGCAGAAATTATCCCACCAGCCTTTCAATTGACCAGTGAATCCTTGGATTATGGCTATAGCCGCTGATTTATCACTACAACCTTTAAATTTATGGGCAGTAGCTGCCATGGTCATTTGGCAAGTTAAATCTAATATGGCTTGCTCACTTAAACCATCTAAATTCCATTCAGTTATATCATTTCCTGAAAAAGAGTTTTGTACTAGTTCTCCCCTTTCCTCAAATTGTATATCTGCGAAAGTGGGTCTAGAATAATAATTTCTAAGTTTTGGATATGTCTTCATTTTATTTATTTCTATTGTATTTATAGATGTGTTTCCTATTTGTTCAATTTTCTTTTTTAATTCTTCTATCTGTATATCCGTATTACTTTTTAATCTTAAAGAATCTAATTCTTTTTGTGGAACATTAAATAATTTATATATTGGTTTTACAGGTTCTTTAGAACTACTGGGTATGTCTTTTATAGATTTATTTTCTATTCTAGTTAATTGTTTAGACATTACTTCTAATACGGTGTTAGAATAATTTAATTGAGAATGTAATTTTTTTATATCTTTTATCTGTACTGGTTTTTCTTCACTTTTAACATCTTTATAAGGATTTGCTTCTATTTCTAAATCTTTCGTGGGTTTTATTATAATTCCTTGTTGTGGAGGATATTATGAAGTTATTAATTCATTATTAATAGTTTTCCATGTATTACTTATCTTTTCTAAAGGATATAAATTCTTTTCTTGACTGTAATTAAAAAACTAATCAAAGAAATATAAATTTATTTCATTTTCTTCTAAATAATCATAAAACTCTTTCCTATATTCTTCAGTTTGTTGTTTTGTAAATGTTTTAAAATACCATTCTCTATTTCTTTTATTATATTACTGCTTCAAAATCTTGTCTAATCCAATTTTTATCTATATTAAAGGATACTTCTCTTTGTACTGTATTTAAAATTTGTGATGCAGTTGGAGAATATTGAGGAGATTCTGTTCCTCTAGATTCTTCATAGACTGGCTTAGTTACTCTAGGAGTAATATTGTTTAATCCTCTTAAATCTAAATTTATTGTCGAACCATCTATAGAATGTCTTGACGATTATCCTTTATATATCATTTGGGGTTCTTTATTTTTAAATGATAATGATCTATTCATTCTTAATCTAATATCAGTTCCTTCTTGAATTATTTCTCTAATTTGTGTATTATATATTTTTGGTTCTTCTATAATATCCTCTAGTTTCCATTCCTCTGGAATTTTACTTATTACTTCTTCATGACTTAGTTTTTTTAGGAATTTGTACTGATGATTTTTTAAGATTTGTTTCTACTAATATGGTTTCATCTTTTGGCGAAGATCTTAAAGCTTTATAATTATAATCTGTTCTGGTTACCTTATAATAAACTCTATAGATTATCTGTATTGGACCTGATTCTTCATCTACAATTTCTTCAGGAATTTGAACATATAATTTTATGGC